GGGGGGGGGTGTTGTGACTAATAAATCAACAGAGGTATTTCTATTATACAAATTTGATACTGACCAAATCCATCATACGTTGATGTCCCACGGCCCAGCTCATCAATTATAATTAATGACTTCTCAGTTGCTCCTTTCAATATCGATGCAGTCTCTAACATTTCTTGCATGAAGGTAGAAACTCCACGTAGCTATACATGGGAAACGAGGCAAAACATGAGTAAAAGATGTAAAAAAATAAAATATGAAAAGTAATAAACCACTAAAATATGCATCCTCTTCTCTCACATCAATTCTATCGATTCATTTCCAAGAGAACTGGCAAACAATAAACCATAAGGTGGTCAAATGTGAAGTGAGAGAAGTATCACAGGCGATGCCATTTAATTTTGCAAAACTAATTAAAGATAAAGAAGGCCAAGAACTTAGAGAAGCAAATAATATAAATAAGTTCAACATTTTCTCTTTTCTACTCAACAAAGTTCTCTGTCAACTTTTAGAAAATAGAGAAGATTATATATATCCACTTGTGGCACTACATTTTGGATTCTGTGTAGTTGAAAGTACCAGAATACAGAAAAAACGTGAAGAAAAAAGAATGCATGTTTCTCATCAATTAAAAAAGTAAAAACAAAAATAAAAAGAAGGAAGAAAGGGGATAACAAAAGCGAGCCCAAAATGCCTCTTCAAGTTTGCATGGATTGAGGATAAAATGCATGATACAATAGAAATCCACGATTAGTCTCATACAAAATAATCCACACATCAGCATTGTTCTGAAAAGGCTTAATGGGTTTTGCCCTCACTCCATTTCCTTCCTAAAGCATAGACAATAACTCCTAATTGGTTAAAATAAATTTTGAGTTATGGGTGAATCAATGCCAATTATGTGCAAATCATCCAAAAGAATAATTTACAAATTTAACCAACTGCAAACAAGATTAAGTCATGGAACCTCATTACTCACTGTACAAAGCATACCTGGCAGTCACCAGCACCCACACGAGCAAAGATGCAGTCACGTATAGAAATACTAGCACTGTCACAAGGGACAAAAGAGCCAATTTGTGCCATCAGAATGTTCACACCAACCTGTGCAAAATCATATCATACAATGTGACGGAACAAAATTTTGGTTCACAACATAAACCCAGCATTATCTCTTAAGAACAATTTAAACTGCTATATTGTTAACTTTTGATACAGGTAGAATTTAGAAAAAGCGTTGACCAAGTTTATACTATGAACCAGGTAAAGATTTAACATTTGATATTGGAGATCGAGATGTTCCCTAGGCACACACGGGCCTGAAAAGTTGAATACATGAATAAGAGATATTTTATAATTACTGTGTTGCTATCTTGACCTATCAGTCCTGCCATATATAGACTAATGTAGTTGAGTGGCAGCAGACAAGCACCTTCTTACCAATCTTACTTGAAGGTCGCAAAAGCAAGCTTAAGAATGCATATTGAAACTTACTATAGAAAATAAAATATCACGCAATTGCGATCCTCATGCACAACAAACCAGTTTTTCATTAATGCTTATCTCTATAAAGACTTGATACAGAAAAAGGTTATCCAACTACATGAAGTTCTTAACCTGTCGAATGAATGTTGATTTTCCTCCCATATTTGGTCCTGTAATAATATGGAACCAACTCTTATCCCTGACCTGCAAGGACAATTGAAAGTAGGTAATGACCACTTCAATATAGGCTGCAAAACATAATTTGTCTCCATATACCATGAGAACTTACAAGTTTACAATCATTGGGAATAAAATTCACCCAATCTTGAGCTTCAACACACGGATGTCGACTCCCTTCCAAAATAATATCTCCGAAATCCTGAGAAGTGTGACTGTGAAAAACATATATTTGTATTTCTTGCACTGAAAGTGTAATTATAAATTAAGTCTCACTGAAGGCGTGATGATTGGACGTGTGTAAGGAGTGGGACAGCTAGCAGCCAAATCAGCAAAACTTAGTAAAACATCCAATTCAGAGAGTGACCACGATAATCCTTCAAACACCTGCATGAAGATTATATTATAGAAACATTAAAAGACTTATTAGAAGTAATCAGATAAGAAAACAAAAAAAAATAAAAAATATGATCAGTATTGTAATGGTTAATATATAACAATGATAGGGATGATCCATGTAGGAAGTCTCCAGCATGGATACCTCGGAAAAACTTGCAGCAGTCTGGACCACTCTGGCAACCAATTCTTTCTGACAACTTTTGTACTCCTCAACAACCTTTTGGTAGAGGTCACTTAATTTCTTAAGCTTTGTGTTTGTGAACTTAACACCGTCCTTTCGAGTTTCAAGAACAATAAACTGGGTATTCAGCTTCTTTCTCACTTTTGGCTCCTCCTTTTTAGTAATCCTAAAAGCATATCCATATTGTGTCCCTTTCTCCAATTTCAAAGCTTTATCAAGAACCAGATCAAGGTCGTCAGCTGCTTTTCTATGCAATCCATGTATCTGGTGCTCAAGAGAATCTTGCTCATTTTTCAAAGCCAACAACTGTGGATCGTATCCTGATGAAATCATGTATTCTCCATTTTCAAGTTGATCAAGGTCAACGGACGCTTCCACAAGACCAATAAACTTGTTTAAATGGTTATCATCAGTCCATTTTTCTAGAGGATCCAAATATCTTTCCTTGATCAGTGAAGCAAATTGGCCATCATACTGCTCTAATGCGCTTTTGATGAATGAGAGTCTGATACTTGACTGCAAATTAAGAAAAAGTAACTTAATAATATATGTGAAAAAAATTAAGAAGATAGTCCATTTAGCAGTTAAACTAAAGCCTAAGATTTGTGATTGACCACCCAGGAAAGAAAATAAATCATTTAGATATCTTAGGCTGGTTATCATATATCCAGAAAGAGGATTTGTTATTGTCGAAAAAAGTGAGGGATGTAATGAAAATATCCTGAGATACAAAATTGTTCCAGAAACGGGAAAGATAAACATGAAGATATAATTTCATTCACCCCTGAAGAAACATGTATGCCTTATACTGTCAGATATATCCCTATGTACCATGTACACCAAGATTTAAAAACGCGTTTGACAAAAGACCCCACAATTCCAGGCTAAACTCCTTGTCCTAGATCATGTAGAGGTTTATCCCATGGATGTCAAGCAAACTAATGGTTACCTGGTAGAGCTTAACAACATGAACCAAACCCGCTCTCTTCTTCTCAAGAGAGCGAACAAGTCTCTCTATATCTGAGATTCTTTTTAAATGCTGCCTTAGGCCTTGGCGTAGGACAGTATCCTCCACAAAAGCTTGTACCAAATCCAGCCTACAGTTTATCTCATCTACATCTAGCAAAGGTTGTTTCAGCCACATGTGCAGCAAACGCTTGCCCATCCCTGCAGTACATGTTCTATTCAGGAGACCAAACAAGCTGAAGTTCTTGTTAGCATCAGTTTTGCTCTCCATGACATTTAGCGCCCGCATGGCGGCAGAGTCTAATCTCATGTAACTATCAAGGTCATATCGTTGGATTTTGTAGTTTCCATAATTGCTCTCATCAGCAAGAAGATCCACATAGTAAATTATGCACCCGAGAGCCCCCTGTGCGTATTCAAATGCCCCTAGAAGATCCCTTACTGGATCCGTTGAGCCTTTTACGAGCCTACCGAGATCTTGCACCAAATCTCTTCCTTTAAATTCTGACTTTTTCCTTTCGGTTACCATTACACCACACCTGGACAGTGCATCATTCAGTGGCCTATATTCATTGGACTTGACGATGTCAGCTGGAAGAAGGCACTCCTTGCAACCGAGAGCAACAAGAGCTGACTCCAAGTTTGTAAAGTGGCTGTCATCAGGAAAATCTGCCAGTCCGAGTAACCTTTTGGTAAGATTGACATAGCTCAATCCAACAGTGAATCCGCTTTCACGGTAATTTGCAACAACAGCAACAATCACAGGAGAATCTTGCATCTCATTGTTAGCAAACAGGACTTCTTCAAAACCACCTAAATTTCCAGGTGTTGCGCATTTCACAAGTCTCCAATTGGCTCCACTGCCCTCATACAGCTCAACAGTGTGATCAGTCCTCTCCAGAAGAAGATCCCGCGCGACAGTCTCGAACATATTCTTACTCACACTAACACTGGAAATGGCATCGGGACCACTTCCCAGTTGGCGCACAGCAGTTGTAGTATGGTAATAGGTCTTTGCAATAAAAGTTGCATTCTCCCCATGCGCAGTGTAATAGTCCTGTAATTAAAGAAGACAAAAGGCTGTAAATAAGATAAGAAAATGAAACCCAGCTCATATCACTGCTTCTTTTCTAGATCTCCCCACAAATGTCATGCGAAATAAGCACCCAATGAGCAGTGTGTGAGAAAACCCATCTAAATTACATGGAAATTGACAAGAATTAAGGAAGAACAATGCTCAAAAATGAATGTAACCCCTATGACAACACTTATAATAAGGGCCAGAACAACAACTAACCCGACGATCGAAAAATCTAACAGCTCTAGCGTCCTGCAAATGGGAAACGGAAGTTAGAGCCACAATATTCACTTCAGCACACTACACTAAAGTAACAATAGAAATCCAGGTTCATCTTGACAGGATACATCTAAACAAAATAAGGGAAACAAGAAAGAGAAACTCGACAAAATTGCTCACGCTGGGTAGGCGTTTGAAGAATGAAATGAACCCTTGAGCTTGCTTCGCATCTGCCGCACACCAATTCACCATTAACAGAGATATCGATACAACAAAAGAGATAATTCACGGTCGAAAACGATGAAAATTAAAGTAAGGAGCTGGTCTTACCTAGTTTTAGCTCCGGAAGCTTGTTCTGCTCCTCAAAAGCGTCCCCCATTTTTTACTGCGAAGCGGCGAAATTGATAATATTAAACCCTAAATCCCACAGGAAGCTTTTTGCCGATGGTTGCTGTTTATGTCCTCACTTCAGTTAGAATCCCAAGCTCTGTTGTGCCGACTCCTCCATAGCTAGGGAGTGAGCACATGACATTCCTGGATGACGATTGGCGGGAAGATTGGCGGGGCGCGTGCGGGTTCCCCCATGTAAAAGCGTGGCTTTTCATTTACTTTTCTTAAAAAAAAAATAAAAATGATGTACGATTTTGTTCGTCTGTTACATGATGATCTAACGATTAAAAATTTCAACGGAATGATTTCGTAACGGAATCACATCAAGAACGATTAAAAATTTCAACGGAATGATTTCGTAACGGAATCACATCAATTATATGAGAGCTAAAGTTTATGTGAGAGAATCTCTATGGTTTTAGAAGATACTGATTTTTAACTCATATTAATTAGTGAGTGTGATGTTAATCCACATAAGATTTTTTATCAGGACTCATTTTTCATGTATTTTTATTAGAATTGTAATATGTCATTGTTTTTTTTTCTATATTAGAACATCATTATGTTATTTTTGAAAAAAAAAGATACATTAAGAGCTCATTTATTCTATATTTTATTTTGTTCCTACAATAATATGCTTAATAAATTAATTAATTTATTTTACTAAATTTAATCGACAAAAAATATACTTCACCTCCTATGTCAGTCGGACATGCATTTTACTAATTTATTGCAAAAGAATCAAGCCTATGTCGGACATGCACTTTATTAATTCACTAGGGGTTTGTACATTATGATTTAACGGTTACAAACTCCGATAGAATGGTTCTGTAACGGGACCTTAGCATTTCCCACTGATTCACTACAAAAGAATCAAAGGGTCGGTTCATCTAAAATAGTATGTTGCTTGAATGACTTCTCAATAAAACCATTTCATATCTTTTTTTCACATATTCAACATGTTTTCTACATGCTTTCTTTGTTATTTTAATTACCTTTTTGTATCATTTAATTTTCAACTATAAATAGAAAATATTCCTCGTCGAAAAAAGATCACCACATCAACTAAAAAAAGATTTGTTGGACTAATTATAAGCTGCCCAAGTTACTCCATTTTTCCTATTTGGTCGAAATCTCAAGAGCACCTATGTTTCTTAACACTTGCTTCAAATTGAAGTATTCATATATGTGGATAAAAACAAAATGTTTTAGTACTAATTTTTCAGCACTTTTAAGGTGTGCCGGAGATGAAAGATAATACAATGAGTAGTACTGATCAAAAGTTGGTCTTCTCAAGAAGTTTTAGCCGCAAGGAACAAAAAATATTTGGTTGTGGAGCTCTCGTTGGTTGTCTCATTGTTGCTGTCACATTTTCCACGGTTTTCAAGTCCTATCTTCATCCTATATCTGATCATTTTGAAGTAGAGACTACGATATATCCGAGTATTCGTAACTGGAGCGATTCGAGATCGGACGTGTACGAAATAACCGGCGATGTGAGATTCGACGGCCGCTCGTTCACCATCTTCGCAGATTATGCTATAGACAACAATGCCTCCGAGTGGACAGTGAAACCGTATGCCCGAAAATTCGATGAGTTCGCCATGAGTAAGGTCTCCTCCCTAACGGTCAAACATGTGATGTCATCCCATAAAGATAGTAATAGAAATAACGACGAAACCCCAATCAAGATGCCTAACTGCGACAGGATGTCGCGCGTGTGGACACCTGTCGTCGTCTTCTCGACGGGTGGCTTCTCGAGCAACTATTTCCACGCCTTCACCGATGTCCTCTTACCATTGTACTCCACGTCCATCCGGTTCGGGCGAGACGTTCTCCTCGTCACGCTCGACGGGCCGCTATCGTGGGCCCACAAGTATAAGAAAATCCTCGATCGGCTCTCTAAATACGACGTCATCTCCATTCCCAAGTCCGAGAATCATGACCGAGCATTTTGCTTCTCGCGGGTGGTCGTGGGCCTCAGAGCCGAAAGGGAGTTCACGGCTAACGAGCGTTCGACGCCAGAGTTCGCGAGGTTGGTCCGGAGCGCGTACTCCCTCAAGAGGGGGGTTGTGTATTCGAAATCGAGCCCCCGATCCCGAATGCTCATCGTGTGTCGGAGGAAGGGTCGGCGCCTCGTGAACCGAGTGGAGGTCGTCCGCGTGGCGCAGGGGCTAGGGTTCGACGTGGTAATGAGGGAGATGGGGGATGACATGGCGGAGGTTGCACGGCTCGTGAACGGGTTCGATGTGATGGTCGCGGTTCACGGGGCGGGACTCACCAACATGGTGTTCCTTCCACGAGGGGCGATTGTGGTGCAGGTCGTGCCTTACGGGCTGCAATGGGTGGCTCGGAAGTGCTTTGAGGGCTTCGCTCGGAGCATGAAGCTATGGTACCTCGCCTACGAGGCAGGCCTGAACGAGAGCTCGCTAGCGGTGTCTGGGGAAAACCCGGATGTTGTCCGTCGGAAGGGATGGGGTGCTTTTAAGGCTCTGTATTTGGACGGCCAAGATTTGCGAGTGGATTTGGTTAGGTTTAGGGGGACTCTTATGAAGGCATGGGAGCTCCTTCATGTGTGAACCAAGAAATGATGAATTTACAAGAGAATGATGAATGTGTGATATTTTTCACCATGTTTGCATATTGATTACTGAATGTAGGATTACTAGTAAGAGTAACTAAAGGTAAATGTGAATTGATTGATTCATTGATAACTATAGTGTGAAAGTGAATTGATGAATATGAAAATAATGTTTATTGTGAGGCATGTTTATTGTTGACGAGCGTTTTCGGTCAACGGTTAAAAATACAGAATGTTGAGAACCACTGAAAAAAGGGGAGAACGGTTCGGTTTAATTACGATTTTATTAGGCGATCACGAGGTCGGCCTCTCGTACGAGGTCGGCACTAGCGATATACTTACAATTCTTACAGCGAGTTTCTTACCACTTTTAGAGAGAGAAAGTAGAGAGAAGGTAGAGTTAATTCAATTTCAACAACCTAAAATAAATGAGATGAACTGCTATTTATAGTGGTCTTTAATGTGGTACTATTCAGCTACTGTTCACTGGTCTTGTCGCTCAGTAATTCGGCAGGGCAGTTCGGCGTCCGTCTGACGGTTATTTAATGCGATTTGAGGTTTTCCCAATCATTGCCTGACGGGCATTAAATGCCAGCATGGGGGGCATTTAATGCTGGATGACTTTGCTGACTTAGGCTGGCTGGTAGGGGGCTAGGCCATGATTACCTGTCCCATCGTCCAATGATGACCTCCCAAGTGGGAATATTTTAATGTTCATCGAGGCCCGTGCGTCGTCCCTGGCCGGCCTCCTCATACTTTCAGGTCGGCACTTCGTTCGTAGATGCTCATGAGACTACGATTAGTCCCCTTCCTGTCCGGCACCCTTCCAGGTCGGCGGCTACCCGGTCTGAGCCTGGCACCGGGCTGAAAATCTGTTCCCAGGGCGGTTTCCCGCCCCTCTAATCCGCGGTCCAGCTCGGCACTTTCTCATCAGACCGGGTTTTTGGCTCGAGTCGGTTGGCAACGTCTCCCCGGCTCATTCCTGGCTAACTCGGATATCAACATTTATATAAAGGAAAATAGTTTTTTCACCCAAAAGACGAAATAAGTTTTACATACTGTTAAATAATAAATTAATTTTTTCATCTCACAAAGTGTGAAATAAATATTATATGCGCTAAACAAGCGAAGATAATCAATAATGTACAAAAAATTATGTGATACAATATATGCGCAGACATGCGAAGATTATTGATAAAGTGCAAAAGAAATTATTTGTTCTTACTATTTAGTGAATCAATCGCCTTGTTCGATAATCTCAATAGGTAAAATAGAAGCCGCAAGTAGTAGTAAAAACTAAC